CAACACACACCTCTTTCTAAACTTGGAAAAGGAAGAGATGACTTCATAGCTTTATAGAGGAAAATCTTGAGCAGGTCTAAAATCTAATTTGCATTTATGGGAAAGCTGTAGAGCAACACCACAAATACACAAAAGCTCAACATACCTTAACAGTAACTTTTACTGATACCATTACAAGGTGAGTACACTCTTTTGTCCATTCATTCACAACAAGGCCTCCAAGCTGCTGGATGGCTTGATTTAAAGCAGTTTTCTGAGCTACATCTAAACATGAGGAGCAGACAACCAAAGGTTCATACTCCACTCTGCAAAGAACAAGTAAAAGAGAATTTCTTTAGTTATTTCAGCCAATCATTACGATGAAAAGAGCCGATTTAAATAACATGTTTTGTCTCAGGTAATCTGAAGGTGGGGGGGTGGGGGTGAGGGGGAAGACCCATACTCTTACCTAAATCAAAGACTGTGCTTTAAAATTTCCTCAAGAAAGTAAATACTGATTTTTATTCAGAAAAATTAACTACATTTTGACTTGACGTCTGAAGTATTTCTAAGGACTTTTGGGTCTTTCACAGACATCAGATAGAATTAGTGCTTCAAGAACATTGCAAGGTTGGGGAATATCAGAATAAATTGAGTATGTCCTTCCAAAGGCAAAAGTACACTCAACAGAACAGTCTGCACACAGACTAGTATTTAAAAAAAAATATTAAAGTGTTGTAGAATGCAAGTTTAAGTAACTTTTTCCTAACACTGCCACTACCCTTGACCATAAGCCTATTTATATTTGCAGATCATCCATATGGAATCATAGCATACCGAATTTCATTATTTGATTTGGTTTAGCCTACAAAGCAGAAAGAAATTTAAATAAACTTTCTGGTGCAACACTCATGATGTGTCTAGTCTCATGGCATGATTCACGTACCACATTTCAGGTATGTTTATCTAAAATAACAAAAATAATTTATTGTAATAAGTGGAGGGGAATGCCATTTTTTCCTATCAAATAATACCAGCAGCAGTGACAAAACTGAGCCAAATTTTAAGGAACAAAGACAACTTCTGGTTGCTTTGATGTTGAATTTAATGGTCGTTAGAATTTTTTCTATTTACCTGCCACTTTACTTGAGGGAGTGCTTCATATATTCAAACAGATGGCACTGACTATTGTGTTAAATTTGAGAAATTAGCAAGTTGGGTTCACTAAAGAGAAGCAGATTGTCCTGGTTTGAGGTAATACAGAACCAATTCTGTTCAGTAACTTTAGCTAGGCCTCTTCTAACTACTGAAATTAACGTAGTGCACAGACACTGTTAGCTCTCAGAGTTATAAGACCTATGTTTATAAATAGTTGATGCCAAGGCATGGTATGCAGAGCGGCTCTTGCTTATAGTTATAGTTGCCCTTGGGTGTTACAGCAAACTTTGTTATTTGCCCTGTTGGAGGGTCGGAAGTGGAAAAGCAAAGAGGGGTCCCACCTGCAGGGAGGAGCAGACAGGAGAGGTGACCCAAAACCGACCAACAGGGTATTCCACCCCATCTGCCTCGTGCTCAGTATAAAAGCTGAGGGATCAAAGGGAAGGGCCAGCCCTCTTTCTGCAGTGTCTGGCACCCAAGGACGACTCTGTCTGTCTGCCTTTGATCCTGATCCTGAATTCAGATCTGGAATCCAGTTCCTGTCTGTCACTGAGTCCATTCTTGGACTTTCCCAGTGCCAGCTGGTGACGTGACTGTCATCCTGGAAGCTTGATATAGTTTTGTATATATTTCATTTTTTTCTTTTTATTTTATTGTATTTCATTAAAGTAGTTTAGTTCCTTCTAAATTCCTAAGTCTCTCTCTCTCCTTCCGCCTCTCTTTGAAGAGAGGTAGGGGGGAGCATCTGTCCTTCTGCCCAGCGTCCGGTTCAGCCCAAACCACAACACAGATGTACATCACAGCAACAAGCATTCAATGGTTAGTGATGCACAAAGCATCCTCCAACTATGTCAATTCTTTTCTTGTTACATTATGACCAGCAAACAAGAGCTCAAACAAGCTCTCTCCCTACCCTAGACTTTCCCCCCTTCTTTGCCTAAGATAGCCTGAATACACTCACTGTACATGATATAGTATCTTCTAAAATGCCAATGCTTTATTACGAACAATTTTAATCTCTTAGTGTCAAAATAAGTTATATTATAAAAATACGTAATGGAAAATTATTGCAGAAGCAAGTGTGGAACACAGGCAAAATACTACTCATCTCCTTTGCTTTCTAAAAATCCATCATTTCCATCTCACTTCTCGAGTTGTATGATGTGCTAAAATACCCTTTTCAAAAAGGGCAATTTTCTACTTGATATTTTATAATCAAAGCACTTACCTAAACTTGCTCTCAAAGACTCCAAAGTTGATTCTGTCACCAGACTGCAAAGACACCGAAGTGCCACTAAGTTTTGATCCATTAACAAAGGTACCATACTTAGATGTATCTGTTACTGTTAATATAGGGACTGAGAGAGAGTGGCTCTGAAAATAAAAAAAAAAAAAAGTCATTATAGTTTCAGTTTTATAAGAAACAGGTTACTACTATTACGGATCAAAGCAGTAGATAAATAAGAAAAAGCCCACAAAATACCATCCTAAATAAAGACTTTGGGCAATGAGGCTGGCTACATGTAATTATTCATCTTCTGGTTTTCACTGTGAAGGAATGAGAGAAAACATACATATTTTTAGCTTCAGAACTTCTGTGCTTCTTACACCAGTCTTTTTGGAGGCTGTACACAGCAATCACTCACTGGCCCAAAGTCTCCACTAGCGCGATTTAGCAAGGCTCTGAAATATACTATGATGCTTTTATCTACCATTCACAGAATCACAGAATGGTCAGGGTTGGAAGGGAGCCCTGGCACAAGTGCCCAAGTCACCTTCCCTCACTTCCTTCCACAAGCTGCAGGGCATGGTGGCATCAGCATGTCTTGAGAAGAGGTTAGACATATTTCCCAAATACTTAACAAGCCAGTGCTAACATTGTCAGCTTGTTTTTAAGGAATTTTGACATGTAGTTATACACTATTTGCTGTATTAAAAGGACGAATAAATCTTATGTACTTCATTTCAAAC